CTTCACTCTCTCCCTTTTTACTATGTATATTTATTAGTCTTCATTATCTTTCAGTAATCTCTTTACTTACCTTTGTTTCTTGAATTCCGTTCCTTCCTCCTGAGTTCATTTTTCTTCATACTAAAATACATTCCCTTGGTACTCCTTTTAGCTAGAGTTTGTGCACTTTATAAGTCCTAGTCCATTTCACAGTGTTTTTATTTCACCTTCATTTTACTTGAACTCTAAAATACACCTGTAAAATATGTACAGTCAAACCAGTTGGCCCACAATATAGGGTTATTGGGGGGAACTAATAAAATTTGTTGAAATGCTTTATGAACGGTTTTGTGTGTGTACGTAATGCTATTATTATTAGCTAATGTACATCCTATTAGAGTTATATTAGAATTACAGTGTTTTGAATGGATTTTAAAAATCATTGCTTACTGTACTTAGTTAATATTTACTGAGACAAAAGAGAATAATACCTACTAGAAATATCATGAATTGTACATGCTCACACCTTGGGAGAAGAGCTGAGATAAGGTGAAACTCGGGATCCTAACTGCTAGCTTAGGGTTACTCCCATTCATTGGAACTTTGAGATAGGCAAGCGTGAAGTCCAGTTTTTTTACTTTGTTTTTATCTATTTACAAAGACAATACAAAAATAGTGTGGAAAATCCAAATGATAAAAGAAAGAGAGAAAGATATCTTCCAGGAAGTCCATAGAATTGAAACCATTGACATATTGGGACACATCCTTTCAGACATCTTGCTCTGCATGTGTGGCTATGTGGAGACTTGTCTTTTCATCTTTCAAAAGGAATCATACTACATATGCAATTTTGCTACTGCATTTTTCACTAAGTAATATATCAAGAGAATATAGCTAAGTATCATTGCATATAATGAATAAATGTATACCATTGTATGGATGTATCATAATTTTGTTTAACCAATTGGTTAAGACTTTAAAATTGGGAGACTTTAAAATAATTTTTTATATTATAAGTTATGCACAGTTGCCTGATTATTTCTTTAAGATAAATTGCTAGCAGTGATATTGGTCAAAGAGTGTGCACATTCAAGTCTTTGATACATGTTTAATAAATCTCTCCAAAAAGTGCACAAGAATGCCTCTTTTCCTCACACAAACTAAGTATTGTCATTTTTCCCCCTTAATTTTCCAGTTTGAGATTTTTGTCAATATCTCTGCTTACTTGTGAGTTTGAGTATCTTTTCTTGTTTTGTCGATCATTTGTAATTCTTTTGAGAACTTCCCCTTTGGCTGTTTATTCTCTTTTTGCATTCATCTATTTCTTATTAAGCTGTATGAACTCTTATTTGGCTTATAAATTATTATAAATATCTTATTTTTTCCCTGTTTTTTTTTTTAATCTTTTAACCTTGTTTGTGCTTTTTATTGCGTTGTTTTTTTGCTTTTCAACCTTGTTCAAGAACTTTCTGAAATTTTTATTTGATCAAAATTTCCTTTATGAGTTCTGGGTTGTTTCCTTAGATGGGATAACTAAAAGTTCTTCCCCACTTCAAAATTGTTAAATGTTCATTTGTATTTTTTGTGTGTCTGTGCTCCTAGCAGTTTATTTTTCTCCCATTTGAATCTTTAATCCATTTGGAGTGTTTTTGGTATAAGGAGTGATACATATCAGTGCGTTCCTGTTTGTCACATCCTGTTCTGGTTTTTAAATTTGACTGATGAAAATCAATATATGAGCATCCTAAAGCATGGCAGGAATTGAGATGTGCTTCATAGTTTTCAGTTTACTAATGTGTGTTGGGTATTTGTAAGTAGAGATAGAGGTTCAAAGGGGAGGGAGTGGATTGGGAAGTGGTAGTTGACAGTTTCATGTCAGGGTTACCTTCTGTGTATGTATGTGGAACAGAGAATTAAAGAGAGGATACCAGCAGAGTGTCTCTTAGAAGTTTCGTGTTTCCCTTCTTTTAGTGACCCTGAGTTCTTTATCCAGGGAAGTGGAACTGTGGTAGGATGTCGTAAGACACCATCTGACGCGAGGATTTAGAGGTTTTACGTCTTGAATACCAAGTGCTCTTCTTCCCTGATGAACCCATGAACTCTCTGAATTCTGTGGATTCGTGGGCTTTTTTTAACCTTTTATTTCAGCATATGTTCAGAAAGAAATTGGAACGGGGAAGGGGTTCCCTTCCCCTCTTTGACGTCTAATTCCCTGACCCATAAGTAGATGCTGTTAAGTTTCTTACATATCTTGCAGAAATTTCAAGCACTATTTTTGACTACTACCTGCTACTGAATGTTCAGTTGATGAAATTGAAGGTCTTTCACTCAGAAGAAATAAATCAAGAAGGTAAGAAATAAAATCTTTTGACGCTTTGAAACATTCATCAAGTAAGAAGAATTCATCAAGATTATTTCTTTAGGATAATCCCTTTTGACAATAAAAATCAATTTAGTGAACATAAACAGGATGGAATAGCCGCAAAGGGTAGAACACGGCTCATGACGACAGCCTCTGTTGCGTACCTGACATAGGCCATCTGTTAATTCACACTGTATTAACATCTTCATTCTGTAGAGATGAGGAAATGGAGGCTTCCAGAGGTAAATAACATACCCATAGCTCTCCCTGGTTGGCAAAGGACAGAGCTAGGTGTGGGCTCTGGTCTCTGCCTTTGGAGCCACCTGTGTTGTAGGTAACCTGTTCCAGCCAGTCCTTGAAAGACCTTCCCCCACTTTTGGAATAGATAGTTCCTGTTCTTTTGGCTGCTACTTTATTTTCTTCATAGGCCCATAAGCAGTAGACATCATAGCTACAGACACAATTTCACATTTATGAACTGTGGCTTATAGAATGCATATAGGATAACTTTTATAGTAAGATTTGCTGTTTTTGAGTTCTTCCCATTATTGAAGAGTAGCCCTGCCTCCATTGCCTGTGTGCGGTTATACATGAAGCCCCTTACTCAGATGCTTTCCTTCCATTTGTCCGAAATTTGTTATAATGTGCCAGTTTGTCAGAATGAGACGTAAAACTGCCATTTGATAACAGTTTTAATAAATCTACAGGTCATCGATGGCTGAGATTAGATGGATCTCCCTAGGGTTGTGCTGTGTCTAGTAGCCAGGTGAGGAGAAAGTGTAAGAAGATGTTAATTCCTTCCATAATTCTCATTCTACGTCTCTTCTGTTTCAGGTTTTTCTGGGAGCTAGCTGTGTAAGGCTAGTAAGGGGGAGAAAGGAGGATGGGGGTGGGATGGGTAGACCTACATTATATGTTTATACAAATAGAAATAGCATATCAGACAGGTCAGTGTTCATTGCACTCTTGCTGTAGGTCTCTGTCTTGTACTTTGATTCTTGTCAAAAGAAAAATGTTCTTTCCGACAAGGTCATAGAATATAAGTGGAAAGGCAAGACACATATACATGAAACCGAACTAGAGAGTTTGCCGAGACATTCCATTGTACTGTGTGACTTAAAATATAAAAAACATTAGAGGTAGGAAAGGATATTGTAGCAAGAAGTAATCAGGGCAGGTAAGATACGGCCAGAGGGAAAGGACAAAGAGTCTTGAGATCCTGTCATTTTTGTATGTATTAAGAGGCAGAAGAACTGTGTGTCCAAAGACCTAAGATTGCCCCAAGGTAGAGCGCTTGGTAGACCAGCCTTTCCATATAATGACATTAATGTATGCCCTCCATAGCAAATTCTGGGTTCCCAGGATCTCTCCCCCAGTTGACTGTGGGTGAAAGGGCATGGTCAGAAGCTTCCTCAGCCTGCCTCTCATGTTGTTGATCTGTCCCTCATTCTGAAGTTCCTTAGCATTTGACGTAAACAGTCTGTACTACATTGCTGCGACATGTTTACGTGTTGCCTTGGGATTTGCACTCCTCCCATTTCCTTCTTCCTTTGGCCTCCTTAGTGCCTGGTGCAGCCTGTGGATGTTGAAGTTCTAGTAAACACTTAGTACATGAATGTCTTTGGACTGAGGCCCATGATCATGGCACCAGGAAAGCCCTGTGGGATCCCGAATTGTAAACCAGCCTTATCCTTGGGATCCAAAGCAGAGCTGAGGCTGTGACCGTGAATGCGCCGTGTCTCCTAGCTCAGTTTTCTTGTCTCAGCTAGAAGTTCCCTGTAAGAGCAAGTGTTCTAGGAGGTTCCATCCTATGATTCTGATCTGGTGCAGGATTTCTGAAAAGGGAAGTTAGATTAGATTAGATGGGAGTGGGATTAGAATGGGAAACACACAAAAACTCATACTATGGGCAGGCCTTTAATTTAAGCACTTGCTGTCCAAACTGAGCATTGAGTTCAGCTAGTGAGGTAGAAAGGGGGCTGGGGTGGTATTTTGGGCAAGTAAAAGCTGTTTCATAGTCTTGTGCATTTGAAAACTCCAGAGATGGTTAACCTTCTTGTGTTTAGAGGCCTCACCTTTCAGGGGAAGCATCTCCACCTTTATCTCATCCCGTATCAAGCAGGTCACTGAATAATTGTAGCTATTGGGTTTTTCTTACTCCGGTTTGCTAGAATTCACATCAGATCACACAGCTGAGAAAGACCCTTGGTTTATTTGGACATGTTGCTGATAATATCTCTTTGCATTAATGATTTTATTCTGGATATCCAGAGGGCCAGAAAAAGATGAGTAATGGGGGAGTTACAAAATAAATCTACAGTAAAAACTAAAGCAAACTGCTTCTCTTCTTTACCATTATGAAAAAAAAGAATTATTTCAACAGTTATGTCAAACAAGAAGTATTAATTTTCCTCAAATAATTGAGGATATGTTTTTAACATTGGTCTTGATGTAAAAAGCTGAAATATACTTTTGGTTGTTGGTATCCGTTTGCTTCTAGTTAAATGAAGTTAAGTAGATTCAGGTCAGGATTTTTGGGTTTGCTTTGGAGCTTTTGTTCTCCCAACTTTTCTTCCTTAAGTAGATGATCAGGTATCATTTGAAAATGTGTTTTGGGTGGTGGCATACTAAGCAGGTCTTTGATAAATCTTCCAGAACCCGAGGCTTGCGTGATCCTGAGTTGCTGTGAATGGCCCCAGCACTCCTGACCACTCTTCCGGGTAGGATGTCGCTGAGATCCCTGAAATGGAGCCTCCTGCTGCTGTCACTCCTGAGCTTCCTGGTGATGTGGTACCTCAGTCTTCCCCACTACAATGTGATAGAACGCGTGAACTGGATGTACTTCTATGAGTATGAGCCCATTTACAGACAAGACTTCCGCTTCACACTTCGAGAGCATTCGAACTGCTCTCATCAAAACCCATTTCTGGTCATCCTGGTGACCTCACACCCCTCAGATGTGAAAGCCAGACAGGCCATTAGAGTTACTTGGGGTGAAAAGAAGTCATGGTGGGGATATGAGGTTCTTACGTTTTTCTTATTAGGCCAACAGGCTGAAAGGGAAGACAAAGTGTTAGCATTATCCTTAGAGGATGAACACCTCCTTTACGGCGACATAATAAGACAAGATTTTTTAGACACGTACAATAACCTGACCTTGAAAACAATTATGGCATTTAGGTGGGTAACTGAGTTTTGCCCCAACGCCAGGTACATCATGAAGACAGACACTGATGTCTTCATCAATACTGGCAATTTAGTGAAGTATCTTTTAAATTTAAACCACTCAGAGAAGTTTTTCACAGGTTATCCTCTAATTGATAGTTATTCTTATAGAGGATTTTACCAAAAAACCCATATTTCATACCAGGAGTATCCCTTCAAGGTGTTTCCTCCCTACTGCAGTGGGTTGGGTTATATAATGTCTAGAGATTTGGTGCCAAGAATCTATGAAATGATGAGTCACGTAAAACCCATCAAGTTTGAAGATGTTTATGTTGGGATCTGTTTGAATTTATTAAAAGTGGACATTCATATTCCAGAAGACACCAACCTTTTCTTTTTATATAGGATCCATTTGGATGTCTGTCAACTCAGACGCGTGATTGCAGCCCATGGCTTTTCTTCCAAGGAAATTATCACGTTTTGGCAGGTTATGCTAAGGAACACCACATGCCATTATTAATTTGACCATTCTACCCAAAGCCTAGAGAAGGGAGGGATACTTTATGGAAAACATTAAAGTTAGACTATGAACTCTCCAATGGAAAACTCATGGGAAGGTCACTGTGTGGCTTACACAGAACTGAAACTCAGGAAGAGGCTATAGGCTGGAGACGGGAGGGTTGTACTTGACCTGTGGTTTATTTTGACAACAATCAAGTCAGGCCTTTTAAAGATGATATTCAGAGGAATTAAACATCTTATAAAGGAATGGGAAGTTTTTGTTAATAAAACTCATAGGACCAAACAATTTGAACGTGTCATTCTATAGATTAAAACTTCTTAAATGGGTTTCATTGAATTATAAGCTCATTTGTCCATAACAACAAAGCGGTGTGGAGTATTATTCATTGAACAGTCTAGTCAGTTCAGGGGTTTGTGTATATCTTACATGGATGACGGTTTTTTAAAATATATAGTTGTGTGTAAAACAAGTGAAGTTATGCTGAACAAAATTTCATCTCTTTTTTGTCATTCGGAAGATACTTCAGGATGTTGCAGTATTTCAGTTATCAATTATTATTTAATGTTACTTAAAGTTTTGCACTTTTATGGGTGTTTGAATGTTATGGTTGTTTCAATACTGTATAAACAGAATAGTGAAAAATCACTCTTTATATTTAAACTTCTTTTCCAATTACTTCACTGATGAGTTTATTATGAATAGCTCCATTAATGTGTAGATATTGGTCATTATTGCATATCAGTAATCTCCTGAACTTTGATAAATATTTCTTCGTGGTAATATAGAGAAGAATTAAAGGAAGAAGATCTAAATTATTGTCTTGTTTTTAAAAATATAATCCCTGGTGTTTTTAGATGTCACTTCATCTGTCTCATTGTTCCACCTGGAAATTAGGAGTAATGTAGAGTGCCAGGCAGCATGTTTCCTTTTGGAAAGGACTCTGAAGCCAAAAAGAAAAGAGAGAACGTGATGGCCAGAATATTATGAAAGGAGTGTCATATTTCAGTGCTTGAGCTGGAAAGAGAAGACTAAAGATTCAAGTTGCATTGTTAACTGCTCCGTGTTTTTTAATTAACAATCAGTTTGAGAATAAAAAGGAAAAAAAAAACAGTGCTGCTATTGTTATTAGTTTCACATCAAGAGGAAAGCCCTACTGTGTGGTCTAAAATCAAGTCTGATTTCCATATCATGGAGAAGCACGTTTTTTCATAGGAGTGGTGATGTAGGTCAGCTTTGACCTGCTAGTTGGTCCAAGAGAAGCACTCCTTGCCCGCGTATTCTTGGGATTATGCAACTTCCCATTATGCCTGATACGGGACAAGTGATTCCTTTTTTCTGGATTACATGATGGTGAAAGATCAAATCTGTTGGCAGAAAATATGAACTTGAAAATATATAGTCAGCTCTTGTAATACTCATATATTTATAATTCTCCTATAAGAAAAGCTTAATTTCAATTAGAAACATTATAATGTTTGATTCTTGATAACAAGGCTATGTCCATTTCCCTCCTCTCAGACCTGATCCAGTTACAATAAAATCAATTAAGTGAAATACTCTGTGGAATCCATCTATGCCCTTGCTAATTCCCATCCATACGGAGTTTTTTTTTGCTGTATGCAGGCCTCTCACTGTTGTGGCCTCTCCCGTTGAGGAGCACAGGCTCCGGACGCGCAGGCCCAGAAGCCATGGCTCACGGGCCCAGCCGCTCCGCGGCATGTGGGATCTTCCCGGACCGGGGCACGAACCCGTGTCCCCCGCATCAGCAGGCGGACTCCCAACCACTGCGCCACCTGGGAAGCCCCACTTTTTTTTTTTTTGAATTTTATTTATTTTTATACAGCAGGTTCTTATTAGTTATCTATTTTATACATATTAATGTATACATGTCAATCCCAATCTCCCAATTCATCCCACCACCACCACCACCCACCCCCCGGGAGTCACTTTCTTTAAGACACAGGTGGTGGGTATTTTTGTGGTAGGATTAGATTTGATCAAATTTGCGTAACTTTATATTGGTGTTTGGGAAGCTAAGTCAAATAATTTACAGAGGGAGAACTTTTAAAATAAAAGATAACTTCCCTTCACTTTAAGATGAGACCAAAAAAGCAGTAAAACGTGAATAATTGCCAGTTTTAGAAGATTGTTCCTATTCAACTACAGATTGGTGCTTAAGAGATCTCTAAAGAGTTAAATGATTATGAAAAACATTGAGGTTGGGTCGTTATATTTTTTGTTTTTAACTTCATGTTTGCTTTCAAGTAGTATTAACTGTGTTATTAAAATCTTGGCCTCTGATGTCTAACCACATGAATAGCACCTTTTATTTTAACTGGTAACAGAGTTTAATTCAGAGCCTAACCTTAGGCGGCTGCTTTTCTGCCATCCACAGCCCTGCCACATCCCCGTGGTCTTACCTGCTCTCTGCCTTACTCATTTACTTTGCTTGCCTGTAAGCATTGAGTCTGTGACCCCAGCATGTTAGCCTTTTCCAGATTATGCTGCAAGAACAGCTCCCAGATCTCAGAGGTTGACAACAACCATGTGTTCTTTTCATCCACACCGCACGCTACTGGTTACCAGCCTTGGCTACTGTGTGTATCTTCTCACCTCAGGGTCCCAGCTGAAGGGCAACGCCTGTTTGGAACATGCCGTTGTTGTAGAGGGAGAGGAAAAAGAGCTGGTGGAAGGCAAAAGAGCTGGTGGAAACACTAACATCTATATCTACTGACCAAAGCAAAGCCCATGCCAAGCCCAGTGTCCATGGCAGGGTGGGGCAGGGATTTGGTCTCACAGGAAGTTGTGCAAGTCATTTTTTGGCAGCCAGGAATATTGTGTTCTTTTACGGGGTGGGCAAGGAATAGTTGGGTACAGTAATCTGCCACACCTAGTGTGTGAAAGGGAGAAGGGGCTCAGGGACCTGGATTCTGAGGCCAGCCCCAGTGCATCAGAGGTTTTCTGGCTTACTTGGAGCTGGTGCTTTGAGCCCTTCCCTGAGAGGGCTGCCCTTTCACCCTCCTTAAT